ACACACACACACACACACACACACACACACACACACACACACACACAGCAAACACACACACTCACGGGCGCCGTGACCCCGTCACCCCTGCTTTTCTGCCTAGGTGGATTCCGGATGATAATGGCTCTGCCCCGGATGAGGCGGTGGACAAAACATGCAGAGGGTCGGTCGGTTTGACTTCCCTTTTTATCGCAAACCCAAGGAAAACATCCAAAAAATATAACGCCAACGTTTCTTTTAAAATTTTCAAGAAGAGTTCCTCTACTGTATTGTGCTTCATGTGTTTCATGCCCTGCTTTCATTTTAACGGTCCTGTTCCAAAATGTACTCTTTGTGAACGATTATAAACGTAAAATGTTTGACTTTTATAAGCAGTAAAATTACATATACACTGACATGGGAACTGTTTCCTCCCGTTGAGTTTAGGGCCTTTCTTCAGTCTCTTCAATTCACTTTATTTGTCGCCTATTTTTTGCCATTTCAGGGCATTGACTTCATTATTCAGCCTTTGATATGTTGGAAATGTACAGCCAACATGACTACAGCTCAACAAAAGAATACAGTAGGATAATTATCTAAGATTTACATTTCTACTTAGGCTTGGCCATCATATTGATTTGAAAGAGATAATTGAGTAGAAGGCGGCTATCTGACTGAATAAAAAAGCTTTTTTCTTGTTATAAAATGCATATTGATCTTATTCTAACTCAAGTTTACAACCTATACTCATGACTCACATGACTTCTACAATGTTATTTGTTTAGATCTACATAAAATTATTTGAAAAGTCAATCATCTTCCTTTGTTTCCCTTTGTTTATAATATTTTTCAAATGGAGCTTTGTGGTATAATAGCCTTGTTCTGTTTTCCGTTAATATAAATGAAAATGAGAAAGGACTGAACACTATTACTGAGAACATCAGTATGAGAAAATTACTCTAATTCATATTTGCCCTGAAACGCCCCCACCCTGATGTTGCCCTTGGCCATCAGGACCTGCTCCCTATTTTTGCTTAGATTCTCTGCTTGTGGTCGACCTATATTTAGCCCTTTGGGACCTGAGTGATTATACAGATCTCTCCAGAACTCCAGCATTGGCTCTGCGGGCTGCCACAAGTTGGCAGCCGTCTGCACGGTGGAACAAAGCCGGCCTCCCTCCGATGGCAACCAGGAAGTGAGTGGCTTTGTTGGGGTTTTTTGCATCTCAGATTAAAGATTAAGACTGCCTGGATGCGGTTTGCCGACCTGTCCGTTAACCGAGCCTCGTATGAAAAGAAAAAAACTATTTATTGACCCGCTGATTCTTTGCGGAGCCGGTTTTTCGCAGGGATTGGCCTCAGAAAATGAGGATTAAGATTTACTTCTGATGTGATCAATAGGGCCATATCTGAAGAGCAACTTCCACCTCACATTGTGGGTTTCTCACTCCACTTTAAACAACACTGAACACGGTTGATGTTCAGAAGAACTAAAATGATTGTTGTTTGTCATATTGGAGGATGGAGGGGGGGGGGGGGCAAATATTTCACTTTATTGGGGCTGGCTTTCAACTACCCCCATGTTTACATCAGAGGCAGGGTGGTTGCCATGGAGATGGAGTGCCCCTCTTAACTGGTGCACTCAGGAATAATGCATTGTTGAACAGTGCCTGAGGCTACGCGCGCACACACACACACACACACACACACACAGATATACACACTAATCCTTAACATCTGCTATGCCGTATGTGTGTATAAATGTGTGTGTGAGTGAGCAGGGGTGGGTGGATATGTGTTTTTTTGCACATGCATAAAATGCACATCGGTGTTGGACGTGGACAGTGCGCTGATGATGGGAGTTCAGGTGGACATTAGCTTCATCGGCATTTGCCTACAGCACTGTGCACACGCACTGTACAGCACGCAGGTGCCCCAAACGCTCCAAGTCGTGGAAGCTATGAGGATTGACGTTTTTCACACTACTGGTGCCCCCTCTAGTGGACGGCCGCCATCCTCACTGCTCACATGCACACTAAAACACACACATACCGGAAAATAAAGAGATTAAATAAAACCACTTTGTAGCATTTCTGGATTATTTGCGATTTATGTTTAGAAAATAAAGATTACACTGGCCAGAGATCCGCTAATGGACCAGAAAACACGGGTTCCTCCGGTGGAGGACGTCTTGCTGCTGACTGGCAGTGTGGAGGAGCTTTCGGTGACTTATTCAGGAGTCCAGACAGATCCTGTTGGGAATCAGGTGCTCGTCCTGAGGCACTGTACCTGCAATAATTACCCTGCTCTGGAAACAAGTTCATAAGGGACTTACAGCCCTGCTACAAAAAGCACCCATAATACGGCCAGGCTCCAAGGACGGAACATAATACATTAGCAAGTTTCAACTCGCTTTTGCGGAGAAAGAAAGTTTATCTTTGCTAACTGCGTTTGGCCTGGACGAGCAGAATGAGATGAATGCTAAGAGGGACTTTTTAAAAAGTGTAATTTATTTTTGAGGTGGGGTGTACGTGGAGCAAGGAGGGAGAAACCTGGGACAAATTCACTTGATGGAGTCAGAGAGCAGATTTAAATTCATTCATTCACAACAAAGGCTGTTTAACAAGCATAATTGCTCCCTGAGATTTGCAAAACTTTGTTATTTTATGCATGCGAGCTACATTTAGGCGTTTGTAGTCCTTGTTTGCTTCTTCCCAGAATCAACAAAACTACTTTCTTTCTCTGTTGTTTCTTTTTCAACATTAGGTTGCTCCTTTCATGGCAATGAACCTTGTTTAAATTTGAATGTGAATTTGAATTTTAGAAGGGTAAATGAGGGAGGGGGTGAGGGGTGTGAGAGGAAAAGAAAGTGGGGGAGAGAGAGGGAGAAAGAGAGAGGTTGTCAGTTGCCTGTCTGTGTTTAATGGAGGTCCCCGGTGTCGCCCTCGGGCTCCTTCACTTCACAATTAATGGAGGATGTCTCGGGGGAGAGCCCTGCTTTCTCAATAACACCTCCACACACATCCACCGGCGCGCACCTCCAGCGGTGAGCCTTCTGGTGGAGCTGAACTCTG